TTTCTTTCTTTTCTCCAACCAGTCATTATTCGATATTACTCGGCATTGCCTACTATCGCTGCTCGCTGGCAAGTTTGCTTTCGTCAGGGTCGATAGGCTGAAAGCACAACCGCCATTTCGTTTATGGCCTATGCATCAAACGAGAAAGTGCTTTTTGAACAAACGGTAGTGCAACCCGGCTTTTAAAGAATATTAATGTCTCTTGTCTTGCTGGATAAGCTGTGCATATTTCGAGCGTTGTAAGAATAATACCGAAGCAACAGATTCGAGACGTCGAAGCTTAAGATAATCTATCTATCTTAACCGTAGTATGTTGAAAATATTTTACTTGTAATTATTCTTCTTTTCTTTTTCCGCTGAATTTATACAATTGAACTTTACTTTTTAAAATTGTGCCGGTTACAAGAACTTCAACTATCTGTTTTGAGATTTTTTTTCTTCCATCTAAAACTTCATATAACATTCGGAGAAATAAGGAAGCTGAATAAGAAATTTCTTTTGAATAATAATTTATTTTATTTAAATCTTTCAATGATATTTTGCTTTTATTTTAGCGGGCAAGAAAAGAATTTGTAACCTATTAAGAAAATATTTAACAAGAAAATTGAAACAAGAAATTCTGCACGTCAATAAAAATCTTTTCATATTATATTCATCCAAATATTTTGTTAAAAGAATACAAGAACAATCGAAACAATCCAACCGGAATTATTATGAAATGGACCATAAAGTTTATCACTTACTTTATTATTAAGTCCATTTGTAATTTAATTATTGTAAACTTCCAATACCATCACCCTTTATTTTATTTGATGTTTCTGCAATTAATTATCCTCTTCCTTCTTTCGTACTTTTTGCAGTCAGAAAAATGATACATTAACATTTCATTTACCGTATTTTATTGAAAATTTTAGGAATAAATAAATGAACGTATATATAGAAGAAGATTTCGTATATCGGCGCGTTTAATCCGTGTTATTACGTTTCACTTCCGTCTGTTTAATGAGTATACAGGTATTAATTGATAGGTACATAGTGACCGCGATATTTTCCATTAAGCGCGACTCATGATAAATGGAGGAACGATGCATTATCCAACATCGTATCTTTTACTCACAGCGTAAAAATATTGACGTCGTCATTATGTGGATATCGCGGATTATGATCGTTCAGCCTTTGCATCTTTGAGGATTCTACGTTTATTTCTAGTAAGTGTAATCATTAGCGCGATTCGTGCGATTACACGTGAAAAGTTAATGATAGTGTTGCTTTATGTTTGTCAGCCTTATAAAAAACGTACAGAATGATTTTTCGTCAAGCAACAGACAAAGCATAATATTTTTGAGAATAAACAAGGAAAACTTGATAATTGAATTTGGACTGAAAATAGAGGAAGAAGTCAGATCATTGCAAAAACGCATAAAATATCATTGCACGGTTGTAAATTTTATTTTCGCATTAATAAGATGCTCGAAGAGTTTAGTAAATGTTTTACGACATTTTGTACAGGTATTGCATGCGCGTTTTAATACTCTATCGAGATATATCGTGTGATTTATATTTCCGAGGAGTATATAATGTATACGAAAAACTCGGTATTTTATTCTTATATTTTGTGGAATGAAATTCTTTTTGAAATTTAATTAATTCTGCTGTTCACTGAAGAATTTATTAAATTAACATATAAAATTGTTACAATTTATATTTTTATTTAATTGAAACATTTAAATTCATATTTCTACAAGAGATTAGACTAAGATATTTAGAAAATTTACTTTTGTATAATTTCAGTTTACAAAATTTATAATTCCCCAAGGAAAGAATATATTATACCTGTTTCAAAAAGAGCCCCTGAAATTTATTATTTCCCATCCTATAATCTCTCGCATTCCATTATAATTTGAACTATAAATATCACAGGATTAATTAATCAAACTTTCAAACTGAAATAATTTGATCTATAATACATAGCACATTAGTTGAGTAAATGAGATGGTTTTCTAGAGCCTTGAGGCAACTTCTGGAATGTTCAATAACTTACGCGCAGTTTATTTTACGATACTATTCGTCAGGACGAAATTCACGCGTGGATATTTGCCTGTGCTTTTAAATTATTCTGCCCTGAAGGCAGCCAGGATTTTCACGAATCCGTTAAACCGGACCCCGAAGATAATTCTGGCTGATATTTTCAGTGCTTTTTCACGCGTTCCCAGCTTCGTTAGCAAGGATCTGGGAACTTTATCGCCGGAACCCTCGACTCGACGATCGAGCAATTAAGGAAACGAGGGCTCGTTTCTTACCCTCGTAGGGCAATAACACCCCAATGGCACTTCATTTATCGACGATACAAAGAATGTTTCTTTGTGATTCAGATATCATTTCTGTTAGAGCTACTTCGACTTTATTTCTTCTGTAGCGAATAGTTCTTTTCATTTGGTTCGCTAGATCGATTAGATTCTAGTTAAACATTTACAGGAATTATCTGTCATATGAAACACTTTGAAATTTTATGAATACTCTAATGAGGCCAGAGTATCGTGATTATATGGGAAAATTCGAAATAAATCCGAAAATATATATTACGGGAAAATGTGAAATTACATTGAGACATTTAATATAAGTAAAAAAAATTATGTATTTAAACAAATTACTCATGATAAATTTGTTTGATATGATAATTTAAATATTATATTAACTTTTAACGAGATATTTAACGCTTATTATAAACTTAATCTTATATTTTATATATATATAATATATATATTAATTTTATATATATATTAATTATATATATAATAATATTATAATAATATTATATATATAATTATATATATATATATAAATTTTATATATATATATAATTATGTATGTATACATATATATATATATATGTATGTATATATAAGATAGCTATTCATGCTTTACTTCTTTTAAAAATATTTACAGATTGCTTTCAACTTTTACCAGTATAATATCAATGAATTAACAAAATGATGGATATTTTACATTTAATGTTTCTACATAAAAAATTAATGTGATCAAGTAATATTATCAAGGTGTTACTTTATCATAAATTATATAGTAATTATTGAATACTTTATCAAGATATTTAAACTTTTATTTAATAAAAAAAGATCTAGACGGATCGTTAATAATTTCATTTTATAATAAATCACACATTAATTATATAAATTATATAATTTGTAAGATAAATGTTTTAATACTTTGAATTACTTTGAATTTACCGCCCTGTTATTTCTTACGATTTAAAAATTTGAACGAATCAGAAGCTCGATGACATCACGCTCGATCACGTGATTAAATTAGATTAAATATATTGATCTTTGTTGTTTTTATTTATTGATATTTACGAGCAAATTTGTAATGCCAATCAATCTTATATTGTAATGTCAATTAATCTTATATTCGATTTACAGTCTATTCATGTAATATTTAGTAATATACAGTAATTTCTCTGGCGGAAGTGACGTAATATATACGTGGCATAAAAGCTCCAATCAAAAACAAGCTCTTAAATCTACAAATTTCTATACCTATTTTTATATCTAATTTCTATACCTAGTCCTGAATGTGTCAGTGTGATAAATGATCCGTTCATTTCGATGATTAGAGTTTACATCGTCTGTTTTTCTAATCGACCGATTTAAATATCGTAAGTGTGGTAGTTTGTTAAAGATAGTAACAAGGACAAGTGTGATGAACAGTGAGAAAAGAAGAACTGCATCCAAAGGATTTCAATTCTTTTCCAATAATGCATAACCTTACTTAATCTTACTTAATCACATTAAATTTTATGCGATATATCTCCAACCTCATTAACGGCGTCATCATTCGTCGGGTAAGTAAAACAAATAAAATTACATATTGGAAAATAAGATAAAATATTGCTAAATACCGGATAAAATGGCGGATGATGGTCATGAACATGCCGGGAACGTGGAATGTAGGATATTACAGCTTGGAACGATGTAGTTCGTATTATACGCGCACTATTTTATAACTTATTCATGACGTAAAAGATTTCACATTTCACATGCAAGAACTTTCATAATTAGGATCCACTAAATGCCAAGTTTAATATAGCTAAACGACGCGACGTATATGAATTCGCCGGAGAATTCGTACGACTGACTAATCAAGTTATTGGCGCGGTTTTTTAACTTCGGGGCCCTTCGGTAATTTTCGGTCGTGACGTCATCGGGCTCCGGATTGGATGAATTTTAAATCGTACATAAAGTAATAGGGCGGTAAATTCAAAGTAATTCAAAGTATTGAAACATTTACCATACAAATTTTTTAAGTATTTAAACATTTATCGTTTAAAAATTTACATGTATTTATTGCATGTGTTATGTAAAACATTTTGAAATTTCATTAACATTACAACAAGATACGATTGTCGTGATTATATTATAAATTTATGAGGTATTGCAAATATGTATTTAGTATTAAAAATTGGCACATAGTATAAATAGAGACTTTAAACATACAATAAATGTTAAATATATTCATACTGAATATCAGTTACCATGATTATTTAAATTTTTTTCAAAATATTTTCTATGATTTTTTCTATGAATAATTTTACATATATTTTTTATTAAATCTCCAACAATATTACAATTTTAACAGTGTTATTCATAATATAAAATTAATATATTGTTCTACTATTCATAAAAAAGACTTACACAAATTTAATCGTTCGAACTAAGTTATTAAACATATTTTTTACTACGATTTACAATAAATCTTTAATTGGAATTAGAAGAATAATATACCTTAATAATATGTCATTAAACTTTCATTAAATTTTCCATGCACACCAAAACATAATACGAGGTTTAATTAATGCATTGCTTCGCTTAATTAATATTAACTGTACCTAAATTTTCAATTATGCAACTGCAAATAACACCACGTTAGATTACAATGCGTCAGCTATTTGGATATTCTGCATGAAAAATATCATTTGAGAATTGCAACAATCTGAACTAATTAAAGGGCCCGACTGAAATTGTTTTACTTTTAATTTTATTTTTATTATTGATATTTAATCTTATTTTTAGTACTAATTCTATTTTATCGTCTGTCTGCATCATCTATTATTTTAGCGATTATTATCCTGAAACGCAATATATAATCTTTATTTTAGATTTACCAGCAAATTGCAATTTATATCGTTAATTACTCCACAATTATACCCATCTCTTCATTTTCCTCGTACGATAACAATGTCACAAATAGTAGATAAATATATTTTGAATTATGAAACTTTCACGATTATTAAATGTAATTAAACCATCGCGGTGACGTGTTCAATTAATATCGAAGACAATACTTAGAGCTTCAATAGAAGTAATATTCAACCGAAAAATTTACCTTGAAGGAAAAAAGCGAGACGTTGATGCTATTCTCGTCAAGAGAAAACCTCTCACAGTTTAAAGCTCTTCGACAAAGCTTCGGGAAAACTCATTTTTCCCAGCTTGTACGCGATTATTCCAATGGGAACTTTCAAGCTCGATAACTTCTTATTCGCATCATTCAGTCTTTGAAATTCGTTATCGACGTTACAATAAATCCTTGATTTCGGAACCGTTTTTTTTTTCGACTTATTGGTTAATCTAAATGTCCATGTGTAAAATTTAGAACTCTCCAGTAGCGAATGTGGTTCAAGTTTCTCACTTAATAATAACTAGGCTGCGAATTTTCACGCCTTTAAAACATAAAAATATAAAAATATAGATATAAAATGTACGTTGGTTGCAAGAATATATAATAAATAGGAAGTAGAATATTCATTATAATTTCTCTTTAAATTCCACTATTTTAATTATGTTTTATGAAAATATAAGTTTGCGTTACATTCTAATCTAGCAAACGAACAAGTAATGAAATTATCCAATGAGAGACATCGG